TGTCTTGAAAAACAATAGATAGATAGATAGATAGATAGATAGATAGATAAGATAGATAGGAAAAAGAAGTTCTGAGCATGAGAGGGCTTTCAAGGAAAATACTGAGACCTTATCTTAAATAAAAAATTAAAAGGGATTGGATTCACTTAATGGTAGAGCCCCTGCCTAAAACCTCCCAGTGAGGGGCTGGGGGTGTGGCTCAGTGGTAGAGCCCCTGCCTAGAATCCCCCAGTGAGGGGCTGGGATGTGGCTCAGTGGTAGAGCCCCTGCCTAGAGTCCCCCAGTGAGGGGCTGGGGTGTGGCTCAGTGGTAGAGCCTCTGCCTAGAATCCCCCAGTGAGGGGTTGGGGTGTGGCTCAGTGGCAGAGCACAGGCCTAGCATGAGCAGCGCCCTAGGTTCCATCCCTAGAAGGTGAGCGAGGTGAATGGGATGTAAGGGAAGTGAGGTGGCCACTTTCTCTACTGTGTCAGTGAAGGAAAGGGATGCATGCATTTTTTGTACCTCTTGTCTTTTTCTCTGTGTTGTAGCTAGACCATGGACCATGAAGGCCAGCAGCACCACCAAACTGGCTTAGACATAACAGCAGGGAAGAGGGTACCCAGCGCCATGTGGGTCCCTTTGCAGGCCCAGAATACACAGGCGAGATGCAATGGGGGTGAGCTAGAGCCCCTGCCTTAGGAGGCCATGTCACCTAGGGTCTGGAGCTCACCGGCATCTAGACTGTCAGTCACTGCCCACCCCCTTGCTGTCAGGGCTTGCCGCCGTCTAGGAGGGGACACAACGGACCTGAGGAAACGGATCGGCGGATGCCAGCAGCACATTCTCCGGCTTCAAGTCACAGTGGACGATGTTCTTGAAGTGCAGGTGTCTCAAGGCCACCAGGATCTGAGGAGAGGAGGCAGGGCCAGTGAGCCAGGAAGGAGAGAACCAGCCCCGATGTCCACACCCCTGAGCCCGACCCAGGCCTTCCCCTGCACCCCTAAGGATGCTACCTGGGTGAGGGCGCCTCTCAGGAAGGAATCCCAGAAACGGTAGAACCATTTACCCTCCAGAGTTAAGAGCCTGATGGAGAACTCTAGAAAGGCCGGGCTGCAGTGGGGAGCGTGGGAAGACCCAGCCTAGAATCCTAACGAGCTATGAACACAGCAAGGGCTCCCAAGACACAGGGTGCAATTGAATACATTTTGAGGCCTGATGTGGTGGTGCGTGCTTTTAACCCCAGCACTCGGGAGGCAGAGGCGGATGGATGTCTGGGAGTTCGAGGCCAGCCTGGGCTACAGAGTGAGTTCCAGGGCAGCTAAGGCTGCACAGTAAGACCCTGTCTCAAAAACAAAACAAAACAACAAACAACAGCAAACCTTGTTTTGGTTGGCAAGATGGCTCAGCAGGAGCTTGCGACTAAGCCAGATGACCTGAGTTCAATCCCTGGACCCCACGTGTTGGAGGAGAGAAGCGACCTCTGCAAGTTGTCCTCTCACCCACACATGTGTACTATGACATGTGTCCTCCCCCGCCTCACATGTGTGCATGCATGCATGCGCTCTCTCTGACATGCACACACACACACACACACACACACACACACACACACACACTAAATTTAATTTTTAGATTTTTGTTTTGTTTTTAGTTTTAGAGACAGGGTTTCTCTGTGTAACAAACAGTCCTGGCTGTCCTGGATCTCACTCTGTAGACCAGGCTCGCCTCGAACTCACAGAGATCCACCTGCTTCTGCCTCCCAAGTGCTGGGATTAACGGCGTGCGCCACCACTGCCTAACCTCTTGTTCTATTTTTAAGACAGGGTCTTATATATCCCTGGCTAGCCCCAGACTCACTATGTAGCCAAAGCTAGCCTTGAACTGATGGATCTTTATACCTCTCGGGTGCTAGGGTTACAAGCCTGTGTCACCATTCCCTGCTGAGCTCAGGACTTAACCATACCTACCTGGAAGGGTGGTGGTGGTGGGGCCTAAATACGTTCCTGGGGCAAAGAACTGGGTCCATCGCTTAGAGGTGGAGCAGGCAAGAGCTCTGAGGACAGAAATCTGCAGAGAGAGAGAAAGGAGAGAAAGAGAGAGACAGACAGAGAGAGAGAGAGAGAGAGAGAGAGAGAGAGAGAGAGAG